GCAATATTGTGGTCGATTTCTGCCATGAATGATTTATAAACAGAATATTTTGAATTTTCTCACTCTTTAATTTTGGCCAATAAGTTCATGTCGTGAGCCACTAATTTTGGGTCTTATAGTGGCATTTTGTTTAAATGGTGAGTTTAGAAGCACTTACAGTACCTTGTTCAATTATTTATTTGTTTATTATATGTATATGATGTATTATTTTATGGCCTTGCTGAAATGTTTTATTCGAAAGTAAAGAGTTGTGAGATTACACATTTAATTATTGCACCTGTTTGAAAGAAATCATAGTCATTACTAACGAAGTTTAATGTAAAACTGAAAAGTCAAAAGTAATACAACTATGTGCTTTTAAATTAGTACTTTAAAAAAGTAATGTAAATTTTAATGAAATGAAATGAGGTATTTATATCCCGCTCATATGATTAACCAACAACACAAGGAAGGTGGTTAACCATGTCAGAGCGGCTGACTGTGAGTGATGTGAGCAAATGTGTAAAAATGAACAAGAGTATAACGTAATATTAGTATAAGACCAAGACAAAATTAAAACATCTTTTATTTTAAACCACACTAAACTAAAAAGAAGCAGAGACCATACAATACATGTAGGTATAATAAAGGTTAGTACAGTGACATAGAAAGGTAGAGAACTTAGACATAAAATGGAGTGCGGTAAGAAATAAAAGCCAAGGTGTCTTGCAAAAAGAAGACAAATGGAAAGAAAAAACATCAAAACTGATTATATAAATGGTTCTTTAACATTCGCTTGAAGCAGTTGGTATCAGTAATACATCTCAACATCAGTGGAAGAGAGTTCCATGCAATCGGTGCAAAAGTAATACAACGATGTGCTTTTAAATTAGTACTTTAAAAAAGTAATGTGAATTTTAAAATAAAATTTCTTTTAATTTCTTATTTTAAAAATCATCAGTTAAAAATATACACCTTAAATAATAATATCAGTAATAATATACACCTTAAAGAAAATAATCACACTCCACACAACATTTATTTTTTAAATTTCAAAATAAATCTCTAAATTTCTCGGTGAATGCCGATTTATAAAAACGTTCAAAATGATTTAAAGTTATCTCTCAAAAAAATCCGATTCCATTTATCAATCGGTTGCATTTCTTAAAATTTCAAAAGGGATACCGGTTCTGCTGTTCGGTACGGTGTACAATGTTTACCATCTTCAGTGGTAGGTTGATACTATTACTAGTCAAATTGTTCATTAAGATAGCTTGAAATGTCTGGTTACAGCAGTATCTCAAAGTGGTGGAGGTCCGTGTCTTTTCTCGTGATCTTCATTTCTATATCATGAGGCTCGTTCCTGGATTCTGAAATGGTAGAGTGACAAAAATCTGTTATCATGTAGTTTTTGGTAAACACCACATTTCGTGTTCGGAACGTAAAAGTAGAAATGATCACATTTCATGAAATAATAATTATTGAACAGTTTGTAGAAAATTTAAACGAGAAGAATATTTTTCACTTCTTGTACTTACTATTTACAGCTGCCTAAAGAGGTTTACAAAGGGTCCACATTTTGTTTTGTCAGTTGAAAGGTTCGTTCCTGCTGAGTAAGGGTCTGAAATAAATTGTTATAATATGATATAATAGCAATACATGCAGATTTATGAAAACGTTTAAAATGATTAATCCGATTCCATTTATCAATCGGTTGCATTTCTTAAAATGTTAAAAGGGATACCGGTTCTACTGTTCGGTACGTGTACAATGTTTACCATCTTAGGTGGTAGGTTGATACTATTACTAGTCAAATTGTTCATTAAGATAGCTTGAAATGTCTGGTTACAGCAGTATCTCACAGTGGCGGAGGTCTGTGTCTTTTCTCGTGATCTTTATTTCTATATCATGAGGCTCGTTCCTGGATTCTGAAATGGTAGAGTGACAAAAATCTGTTATTATGTAGTTTTTGGTAAACACCACATTTCGTGTTCGGAACGTAAAAGTAGAAATGATCACATTTCATGAAATGATAATTATTGAACAGTTTGTAGAAAATTTAAACGAGAAGAATATTTTTCACTTCTTGTACTTACTATTTACAGCTGCCTAAAGAGGTTTACAAAGGGTCCACATTTTGTTTTGTCAGTTGAAAGGTTCGTTCCTGCTGAGTAAGGGTCTGAAATAAATTGTTATAATATGATATAATAGCAATACATGCAGATTTATGAAAACGTTTAAAATGATTAATCCGATTCCATTTATCAATCGGTTGCATTTCTTAAAATGTTAAAAGGGACACTGGTTCTACTGTTCGGTACGTGTACAATGTTTACCATCTTAGGTGGTAGGTTGATACTATTACTAGTCAAATTGTTCATTAAGATAGCTTGAAATGTCTGGTTACAGCAGTATCTCACAGTGGCGGAGGTCTGTGTCTTTTCTCGTGATCTTTATTTCTATATCATGAGGCTCGTTCCTGGATTCTGAAATGGTAGAGTGACAAAAATCTGTTATTATGTAGTTTTTGGTAAACACCACATTTCGTGTTCGGAACGTAAAAGTAGAAATGATCACATTTCATGAAATGATAATTATTGAACAGTTTGTAGAAAAATTTAACCGAGAAGAATATTTTCACTTCTTGTACTTACTATTCACAGCTGCCTAAAAAGGTTTACAAAGGGTTCACATTTTTTTGAATCAGTTGAAAGGTTCGTTCCTACTGAGTAAGGGTCTGAAATAAATTGTTATTAAATATGATGTAATAGCAAAACATCAAAACTTTGGTAAATCTTTGAATAGATTTTGAATTGTGTTTAATGTTAAATACATATTTACAAATAATATGTATTTAACATTGAATAATGTTAATAAATATTTATAAACACAAATATGTCTCACAGTGATGGAGTTTTGTGTCTTTTTCAGGGTATTCATCACTTATCAATGCCACGAAGCTCGTTTCTGTAATCTGTATTCTGAAATGGTGATTTTATTGCCGATCAGTGACACATTATTTCTGGCATTGTACATGTAATTTCTGGTGATCAGCACAGTTCATGTTCAAAATTTGATCACAGTCAAGTTCAAAATAAGATAGATAATCAAAATGTGTGTATTAAACAGCAATTGAATTTTAGGAATTCAGCACAATAGAAGTGTTGCCGTAAATCACGAAAAAGCACTTAAAAAAGGTAATTTTTTACTAACCTTCAATTCTCATTAATTGGTTGAAGCTGATATCCTATCTTTCTTCCTGTTGAACATTCGTATAGTATTTATACAGCATCGTCTTCGTTCCTGGAGTTGGTTATTAATAACTTAAAATAAAAGTAAATTATCATTAATTTACGATATAAAGATCTTCTCGCTTTTGCCATTTGAAATGGAAAGCACCGGATTCCCAGTCAGTTTCTAATATTTGCTAGACAATATTACCAAGCTATCAATGGTGTATGTTATTACAAATTACAATTAACTAGATTCTACGTATTAAGTATAGGTACGTACCGTAATTTTAGCTGCTGATAAAAACTGAAAGTAGGTGTTTTTTAAACGAAGGCAAATAAGTTTGCTTTTCTAAGGTTGTTATATATTAGGGCTGGATAAACTTCAGCAGTTCAAAACTAATTACAACACTACAAATCTATTACATTTATTGAGTATTATGTAACGCGATGGAAATATTTTAAGCGGGTAATAATATCCTGTCCAAACCCAGGATACACAACATGAAGACTTTGTTGTAACTTTGTATGAGAAGTATTAATATAAGCCTAATAATGTTACAATTTTTTGGACATTGATTGAGCAGTTTTTTTGAAAGATTTCGACGAATAGAGTAATCCCCCGCTTTTTGCACTTACTGCTCACAGCTCATAAAATGGTCAACAAAGGATTCACATTTTGTCTTTTTAGTTGAAAGGTTCGTTCCTACTGAGTAAGGGTCTGAAACAAATTATTATAATATGATATAATAGCAATACATCAAACCTTTGTTAAATCTTTGAATAGATTTTGAATTTAATTTAATGTTAAATACATATTTATAAATAATATGTATTTAACATTGAATAATTTTTATAAATGTTTAAAAACACAAATATGTCTCACAGTGATGGAGTTATGTGTCTTTTTTCAAGGTATTCATCACTTATCAATGCCATGAAGCTCGTTCCTATAATCTGTATTCTGAAATGGTGATTTTATTGCCGAGTGACACTTTATTTCTGGTATTGTACATGTGATTTCTGGTAATCAACACGGTTCATGTTTAAAATGTAAAATTTGGCCACAGTTAAATTGGAAAATAATTTAAATAATAGCAATGTGTTTTAAATAGCAATTGAATTTTAGGAATTCAGCACAATAGAAGTGTTGCAGTATATGACGAAAAAAAACAAACACTTTAAGTGGACATTTTACTTACTAACCTTGAATTCTCATAGATTAATTGGAGCTGATATTCTCTCACTTTCTTTCTGTTCATCTCTATTCTGTCGACATTCGTATAGACTTTATACATCATCGTCTTTGTTCCTGGGGTTGTTAATTAATAACTTGAGATAGGAATAGATTATCATTAGACCTTATTAAGATCTTCTGGTTTTTGTCATTTGAAATGGAAATCACCGGATTTGCGGTTAGTTTCTAATATTTGATAAACTATATCATCAAGGGTTTATGTTGTAACATTGAGCTGGATTCTACGTACATCTCACGATTGTATTAAGTGTTTTAGTTTAAATTTAATATATTTATGAAACAAAGCGTTTTACTGTGTTATAATGAAAATGCATTCTTTGTTAAATTTTTGAATTTAAATTGATTTAACATTTTGCTTTGTCAAATGCTGTTGTGTTGAGATCTCAGAGCAGGTTACCTCGATAACTTTTCTGGGGACTTATGGGTACTGGGTTTCTGCTGTCATACTTTTCCAACCGGAAAACTCAATCATACATTTTCTTATTTAGAATTTAGATATCTAAGTTAGATTTCAGTATCATCTGAGCTATTTGTCATAGTCCATCAACTGTAAGATTAGATTAAATCAGTTTTCTATAGTAATATAACCATTAACCAACTCTCCCCCTTACGACATTATTTTACCCCCTTTCGTCGGTTACGCTGATACTACCCTGGTTGTATGAAGAGTTTAGTTATCCTTTTGTAGTGATGCTATGGTCATTTAGCATATCTGCTTCTGCAATACCTGTATTTATACACTCGGGTTCATTTAAATCGAAAATAAATTCCGTTCCTGAGGTGCAGGTCACCTCGCTGCTCCCTTTATTGAGAGCTTTGGATTCAATACAATTTACTTCCACCACGGTTCCTGGGACTACTGGGAACTGTGTTGTTGTTCTGATCGCAGTTCTCCACTCAGCATTCAGTCCCGTACAGCTCACTGTCGATATGTCATATTAAATCACGTTAAACTGATTAATAAGGGTTATTTTGACGGTTTCTTATGATCACTTTATTAAGTTATAAATAACAATATGTACTAACTATCCTATATCCCATATCCTATAATATATGTGTTTATGTTAAATAACTAAATGGCATACTTGAAATTTAGACAGAAAACTTATTTGTAAATTAAAGTTATTGTTACTTTGTTAAACCAATGCTTGTTTTTATTAGTCACCTGGTTGTGATCCGTAGTAATCAGATGCTGTGTCGGAGGAATGGAACTGTATTTTTGTCACGTATCCGGTCCAGTACGTGCTCCAGTACGGAATAGGACACGTCGATTGAGAGATCAGTTTGTTGAACACCCCTACCTCGTTACAGTGTATCACTAATCTAACACCTGCAGTTCTGGTTAGAGTGATCCGCCACACCTTGTCAGCAGTAGAGGGGGGTTTAACAGGGAAGTTAGTGAAGGTTGAGCTGCAGTAGGGGAGCCAGTATTGTGGAGTAAAGCCGAAGCGGAGGACGACTCCTCCTGAAAGCTGTCCCTCAGCTGAGTAGAAGAACACATACACCTGATCGTTACTCCCCAGCACACTATTAGTTTTAATTTCTAAAGGTGTCGACTCAGAATCCCACTCTATTTCCACCCCACGTTCGACTGGTAACCAACCTGTTAATTGTATGTTTAACTCATGACTACTGAGCAACGATTAAAGGATGAGGGGACCTTAGAATTTACTTCCAAATATTCGCGTTTAAGTCCTGTGAAAGTGTGTAGAATCAAAAAATACGCCGGACTGTGAAATCGATAATTCGTGCAATATCACGCCGCGCTCCTATTGGCTGATAGCAATTTTGGGCTGTGACGTCACTTATGTGTTAAGACCAACGTGCGCGCGCACCCTTTGCTCGTGTCAACATTTTGTTCTGTTCTGTTTTAATTACGTCGTGTTACCTTTTGCGTTTGCGAGAGCGGTATCTTTGGTTGCAATGAATTAGTCTAAGTTACGAATAATTCTCTTTAATAATAATGGTTAAATGTAACTCAGAAAGGCTTTCTTGTAGTTGTAGTAGGTATTTCTATTGATAAATAGCAAAGATAAGTAACATCCGCTAACTAAACCACAAACTGCTATTTTGTTTTGACTTGTTTGAAACCCGATATGGACAGTGGACACAATTAAAAAGAATGTATGATGTAGTAGAAGACATTTTACTACTAGCCATGGCCCTTGGCGCCTCTAGTCCTATTTGAGTACGCACGTGCGGTTTGACACTGCGCGTGTACCGGCCTTTAGTTGTACACTCATTTATAATTTACCGTTTTAGTTTGCTGTGACTTGAGTGTAAAGCGTAACGAATGTGGATGTGTTCGTCTGCTATGCTTGGTATAATATTGCTTGGTGTAATAGTTGCAAATCTTGCTTACGTTATAAGTAGTGTCACATAGTGAGTTAGAACTTAAAAGCTTGGTGCTTGTCCAACTGGAATGAAGACATGCATTTCATACCTACCCGATCCATTTTTATTAGGACCGTGTTGTGTTGATATGACAGGTTGATATATCAACTGTGGTACGAAACAGGGAGTTGCTAGGTGTTACGTTGGGAGCTATAAATATACATAATTTACATGCCTTTCTGTGTGACTTCAATCTTATTCCAGGTGTATCTCGGCTCATGGTTATCGTAGGGTGATAATTCTTTTTTCAACCGGTCATAAAAAGTCTCCTCTCCATTGGTTATAGGCTCGTTAGTATCGTAAATTATTAATTTATTCTTAATTAGTAATTTAGTCGGCCCGCACGCTCATTTTACCTGTATTTCTATATGCGCGGATCAGAGCAACTCACATAATTGACGTCACAGGTTCAAATTGTTTTGGCTGGATATCTCGGCGCGCGAATGAAATACAACTTTGCGGATTTCACTAAAGTGGTTTATACGATTACTGTAATAAAAGGATTTGCACGAGAAAAAAACTTTTTCTAAGGTCCCCTCATCCTTTAATGAATATCATGAATTTAAAGTTATTGTTACTTTGTTAAACCAATGCTTGTTGTTATTAGTCACCTGGTTGTGGACCTTGTGGTATATAGTAATCAGATGCTGTGTCGGAGGAATGGAACTGTATCTTTGCTACGTCATCGCTCCAGTACGTGCTCCAGTACGGAGTAGGACACGTTGATTGAGAGAGCAGTTTGTTGAACACCTCTACCTCGTTACAGTGTATCACTACTCTGACACCTGTAGTTCTGGTTAGAGTGATACGCCAAACCTTGTCAGCAGTAGAGGGGGGTTTAACAGGGAAGTTAGTGAAGGTTGAGCTGCAGTAATGGAGCCAGTATTGTGAAGTAGAGCCGAAGCGGAAGACGACTCCTCCTGAAAGCAGTCCCTCAGCTGAGTAGAAGAACACATACACCTGATCGTTACTCCCCAGCACACTATTAGTTTTAATTTCTAAAGGTGTCGACTCAGGATCCCACTCTATTTTCACCTCACGTTCGACTGGTAACCAACCTGTTAATTGTATGTTTAACTCATGACTACTGAGCAACGATTAATGAATATCATGAATTTAAAGAAGAGGTGTTCTAGCAAAATTGTAAAGGAATTGTATAAATTTTGCCCATAGTTTATTCTCAGAATTTAAGGGCCCAACCATACTATGACTGTTGTCACCATGACTGTTGTCACCATGACTGTTGTCACCATGACTGTTGTCACCATGACTGTTGTCATGGTGCGGTCAGATGTAATGACCAATGACCATATGTACGTATAAGTGTGTTTAATGTTTATAGGGCGTGCCAAGGATACGTGAGAACTCCTCAGGCACCCGGCTTTTCAAAAGCCTTACCTAGCTGATAATCCGTGCCTGACGTGACTGCGGGCAGTCTATTCAGTACTTGTGCCAACTGTCATGGATAACGTTACGTCACGATTACCTAATAAGGTCAATATTTTGCGTGATATGGTCATTTGCAGTGCAGAGTGCAAAGATAGTACATACTATAGTACAGACAGATCTGTCTGAAAAAATCGATCTACTGACAGAAGAAGCTTCCAAAGGATTTATGACGTTTTTAGGTTCAATTTTAAGTTTCATTCGGGTGGCCAACTTTTCCAAAATTGTCCACATGTCTTAAGGCCACTTTTTTACACTTTTGCCACTTTTTACCTCCTTTCTTGTTTGTCAAATATCTTCAGCTGTGAACATCGTAGAAGGATACGAATTAATAGAGGGTAATTATCATATCGACGAGAAAAACTTTTGTAAGACAAATGTTCTTGTCAGACAATTAGATAATTGGATAGTTACTAATTAGCAAGTAAGCAAGTAAAAATCATAAAAATGTTTATTGGCTCAGAATGATCGGAATTTCTTGAAACACTGGGAAAGGTAGGTAGTTTTTGAAAAAACTTTCGAAAATTTAAAATTTTTTTCCGCCAAAAGTTTTTTCGAATAGAAGTTCTACTGAAAGCATCAAACCATGGTTTGGTGGCCGAACTGCATCCGACCGAATTGGTCCCCACTGGTTATCGAACCCCAGTCGTCCGTGTGGGAAGCAAATGTATTAAAACCACTAAACCACCCGGCCGACGTGACAGCACTCACATTTTACTATTTTCATCCCAATTATCAAAGTATGTTTAGAGATCGAGCCTAAAATCATGACAAATGGCACAGTGTGTTAAGAGGCCGTGCCTTTACTCGTGACAACAGTCATAGTATGGCTCTTACTTCCTTTTCCCATAGGTAGTATACAAATTTGCGAAATTTGTGACTAAAATTATGGTATTACCAAAATGTTTGTAACCAAATTTATTGTGAACCAAATTTATTGGATACTTTTATGCCATAGTTGTTACGGACGTCCTGGACGAACTTTAAAAAGGTGCCGAACTGGACGAATTTTTTAACGAAATAGACGAACTTTAACCGAATTTTTAATGACCTCCCAAAATTCAGATCACTGGACAATTGAAATACCAATTTTCTAAATTTTGCTCACCACAAATTGTACACGGCGTACACGCTATACAATATTGTATACAGCGCACTTGTTTACAAGTGTAATAGTGATCGCACCTAAGCCATTCATTATAAAATCAAAACATATGCCAAGAAAATTTACGCAACGAATTTTCACGAATTTTCACGAATTTTTAAAAGGTGCCGAACTGGACGAACTTTTCGCATTTCTTCGACGAACTTAACAACTATGTTTTATGCGATACATTGCATGAATAACATTATGGTAAACTTTTAATCAGTATATCATGTAATCATTTGATTTAACCTGTTATCCGGTTTGCAGAGCCATGTAATTCAAATTTTTCCCGATTACTTCTTTTCCCGATTACTTGGCTGCCTGTTAGGTGCCTTGCCGTCACTCGATAGGCAGCAGTATTTATGCGACCAAAAATTTTTTCTTACAACGACATATTATGCTATCTTTCATAATCCAATATTTTAGAACTTTACACCTTGTTGTATTTGCGAAAGCAAACTTTTTTTCCTAGAGCGTTAATTGTATAATGTATATCCCTAGTAGGTCACTAGTATCAAGATCTTAGTTTTAAGTTATATTTAAACAAAACACTTATTTAACAATTGATGTATCTCCAATGAGATAATGTAACTACACAAGCCACAGCAAATAAGTCTATGATATGTAGGCTGAGACATCTAGAAAATGCCGTTTTGAGTATAAGTTGTTAACTCAGAGTCAGACCCTTGTTTGTTTCAGCTGTTAGATTTAGCATGAAGCAAACAGAGGAGTGAATTACCGAGAATTAAACAATTTGAACTTATATAGTGACACCAGATGGATTTTTAATATTTTCATTTAGGTCTTGATTCTTTTTTGTTTGATCCCTGTCACCCTGTGGTCAATTCAAAGATAATACTTTCGATACTTGCACTTCTACTGGATAAACTTCACCTCATTGGACACACTACCTACAGCTCTTATCCCGCGCGCAGACGTACACTAAGTATCAGCCCGAAAGCAGCTCAAAAATAGTTCTACTGAGCTTGATTAATGTAGTAAACCTAAATTCGTTACAATTTGCAGGCCGTGAATGAATGGGGAAAACGAGCGACCGATTACATTCCCGGTATCATTTGCATAAATTTGAGAACGGTAACTTAAATTGATTTACATTTTACTTCCTTTGTGTCTGGAAAAAGGAGATACGGTCGATAGTCCAATCTACCCAATTTTTGGTTTTTGGTGAAAAATATTCAATACTATAATTATCTCATTTCACCGGGTATAAGTGGCACTACTACTATTTTCTATAACGATAAATTATTGATATATTTTTGATCAATGATAAGTAATATAGCAGCTCATGCACATGTCACGTAGCTTACCACAGAGAGATAGCGAGATGATTTGTAAGAATATTAACGTCGTTTGAAGATTCCGCATGTCTGCCATTCTACATATTTGTTAGAAAAATCGATGTTTAACTTTAAACGAAATATCAACAACTGAAGATTGAGGAAAGTACATAATACAAGTTTACTAATTAACTCGCCAGAGTGCTATCACGTGAATTAAATGAATTTGTGGATTTGCAGCCGAACGAAACGGTTTTATAAACCCTAATCCTATCCAGTAACCATGACCCTAAAGCTGAATAGAGTAAGTATTGTTGCAATATGGCTAGACTGACGTTTTAAAATACCCAACAGCTGTCAGCTACTACACATAATGAAAGGAAATTGAAGGATCAACTTATAATAAAAGCGCTCCAATTACTCTTCAAGTGAACAAAACAGAACCTCTAGTATCAAAGCAACTAGACAAGGCGTGATGGAGCCTTGGTAACTAAATAACAATTAAAACACTAATTAGACGTGAACTCGGCGGCATAGCAAGTGATAATTATAATAATTGTGAATAAGCCAATTCACGATGCTTACCCGCACATGCTGTTCCATATAATAAGCTTTAATGTCAATAAATCCGCTCATGATAGAATACATGTTAGCTAATGATGCGTCCTATTGTAATCAGCTAACACCAGCTTTGACTCACAGGTGCAATTCCATCTGCTTTTAATTAAAATATTCATTTCGGGCACAACCCCCAAAAAACCTTCTCAATTTATGATGATAACGGAAGACGCGCCCTAAACCATAACTACAACACAAGACTACATCACCTTGACTAGTGCTGAGAGGTGTAACCTGTATATCCCCAAATCTAGAACACATAAAAGCTTTTCGTATTTGGGTGCAGAATGCTGGAATTCAACTCCAGTGAACAATAATGTAGAATGTACTGCCAAATTTACACATTGTATGAAATCCTCATTTATGCTGGACGTCATTAATAGTGTCTCATCTTATGAAATTAACAATAGCTTTGACTATTTTTACACTCCAGCTCTGTGATAACTATAAGCTGTTTCGGAGTTTTTATAATCCAATATTTTAGAACTTTACACCTTGTTGTATTTGCGAAAGATCAAAGCATACAGACTGTTACAATGCTGAAAAACAGCAAACTTTTTTCCCTAGAACGTTAATTGTATATCCCTAGGAGGTCACTAGTATCAAGATCTTAGTTTTAAGTTATATTTAAACAAAACACTTATTTAACAATTGATGTATCTCCAATCAGATAATGTAACTACACAAGCCACAGCAAATAAGTCTATGATATGTAGGCTGAGACATCTAGAAAATGCCGTTTTGAGTATAAGTTGTTAACTCAGAGTCAGACCCTTGTTTGTTTCAGCTGTTAGATTTAGCATGAAGCAAACAGAGGAGTGAATTACCGAGAATTAAACAATTTGAACTTATATAGTGACACCAGATGGATTTTTAATATTATCATTTAGGTCTTGATTCTTTTCTGTTTGATCCCTGTCACCCTGTGGTCAATTCAAAGATAATACTTTCGACACTTGCACTTCTACTGGATAAACTTCACATCATTCATCATTGGACACACTACCTACAGCTCTTATACCGCGCGCAGACGTACACTAAGTAATAGTATCAGCCCGAAAGCAGCTCAAAAAGATTTCTACTGAGCTTGATTAATGTAGTAAACCTAAATTCGTTACAATTTGCAGGCCGTGATTTACACTCCAGCTCTGTGATAACTATAAGATGGAGTTTTTGTTAAGTAGCGGGGTCCCTGTGTTTTAGTGACCAATTAAGCTGTGTTTTAGTGACCAATTAAGCTGTGTTTTAGTGACCAATTAAGCTGTGTTTTAGTGACCATATAAGCTGTGTTTTAGTGACCAATTAAGGGGGGTCCCTGTGTTTTAGTGACCAATTAAGCTGTGTTTTAGTGACCAATTAATTAGTGACCAATTAAGCTGCAAGACACGTCTACATCTTGTTAGCTTATTTGAAGAAGTATAGATTTGTATGACGCCTGTTTCTTAATTTATCCACTTACCTTGTCTGACTGTTGCCATTTTTCAATCTGAGGTCTATACTTCTCTGTATACAAATTTACATATTTCTGACAACAAATGTCAAAGTGGGTATCTATGTGATTTTCGTACTACTTTAATGATTACCTTCATGCCCACAGTTTAATGTTAAATCTCACTGTACCATATTCATTAACTTATAATTTATTACCTACTATGTATGTTTTGATTCTATGTCCTTAGAAGGGTGTTCTTCTAACAGTTTTTGACTTACTTGAATGTACAGCATCTTGAAGCTTCTTTGAATTATTTGTATCCTTTTTGTATTGCTGTGTAAATTTAATTCTAATTCTAATTCTAATAAATCATGCAGATCACTGAAACTAATCCTAGGCAGTAAGGTAGTACGTTTTCGTGAAAAGTCAGGGTAAGATGTGCAGAGAGCGGGAATTGAACCCACGACCTCCCGATGAACGCTCGGATGCTATAACCACTAAGCAGGCCGTGAATGAATGGGCCTGAATACGACAGTCACTACGTCACTCACTACGCCACTCACTACGTCACTCACTACGTCACTCACTACGTCACTCACTACGTCACCAGGTACAAGCTGAAGAGCGGTAACTTTGATTTCGGAGTGAAGAAAATCTACTTCTACTGGCTGTGTTTCGACGCTTCTGTATTTGGCTGGTTCACTTCTGTTATATCCGATGTGGTCACTAGTATGGGGACTACATGTTGAGCAGAAGTGCGATAAAGCGGGTCAACATTAACAGGCGCGTATCAGAGCAATAGGCAAAAAATATTTGCCTCTACACTCCTACAGGAACGAGATACATTTATAACCAAATAATTCTCCCAACGCTAGGTTATGTCACCTTTGTGTGGTAGCATCGGATTGACAAAGCCCAGTACAAAAAATAAAAGGATGCAAGCGGTACGAAGACATGCATCATGATAATCAGATCTCAAAAGCACGGCTCTGATAATCTGAAGAATATGATAAGGATCAACCCCATTTATTTCAAGAAAATGTCCATACTAACAGCCAGGAAGTTACAAAAATAGGGAAATTTTCAGGAGCAAGATACTATGTGATTCGAGATATATAAACAATAAACATATATGCAAGGACCAGAGACAAAATTTTCACACCGAGGCAACTGCAGTGTATTAACGTTTTGACGAACACAGAATTAGAATAATTCTATAATAAGACAAAAAGATCGTAGGGAATAAGTAATCGGGTTTGGATGGGCGATGGCCCTGCGTTGTCGACAAAAGTCTGCTCCTTCGCAATATGGACCACTCCCCTATAATTATGTGTATAAAAAGAGTATATTTTACGCGCTTAACGCTATAAGCCATGTGTTAATTAATTACAGGCATATCAACCAGTTTTTGGTGCTTGACGACTGTTACACACGGATCAATCATTAATTTAAATGTAATTTTGGTGACACAAGCTTAATAAATTACCGAGTGATAAAATCCAGCAATTCAAAACAAATAAAATCATGTTATCAGCTGATAGACCATAGACTCGTGGCTGATAATTTCTTCATTTAAAACAATTAATCGACACTGAACGGTAAAAAGCGAATACAAAGTTGAGAACAGATGTTATTTTACATTTACATTCAAGAAGCAACTTATATCGAGATTGCGGTATGCTTTTAAGGAATCCTACATCAAATAAAAGGCTCGAAAGTCGATGGTGCTGTAGATGTGTCGAGTAAGCATAAAAATGTATTAGTTTATCATTATGTTAGATACAAATAATAACTAAGACGATCGACAGAATATTTTATTACAGTCAATAAAGACAAAGTTGGCATACGATGCAGTAATATGACGTGAAATGATACGCATCGTTATTTTTAACACGAGTCAAAACCGCGCAAAGTATGAAATGATTGACAATCAATTCACATACACTTACAGATCGACGGCGACACGTATACCTCAGATGCCCGCAGGATTTTTCAAGTTCTGCACGCCTAATATAATATGAACGATTATTAAATGCACGCCAAACACCACTCTGGGCCGGATACAATAAAGTAAAACAATTACATTGTATGCGGTAGGGAAATTTGATCGTGAGTGGTGTTACTGTTACCGCGGCGAAATTCTTTCGCCGCGGTAACAGTAAGTGTAACAGCTTAAATTAAGGCGAGCGATTTAGTAGGAGCGCTCACTAGCAGCAGCAGTTAGGACGCATTAGACTAAAAATCAGTTTTTATACCAAAATCGTTTGTTATCGAATTTACCCTAGGGAAATTAACGTCCGCGGTAAATTTAGATTTCCAGAGAGCGGGAGTTAAAACCAAACGTCAGGCACAACTCTAACTCTCTAAATGAACTCTGTCCAGGTTTGTGTCCGGACATTGGGAGAGGGACAAATCTTAATATGCTAAACTAATCATGGTAAGCACCCATTAAAATAGAATAAACAATGATCATCCACGTGGGACTCCTTGTCTAACGGACGGTTAACTTTAATTAAGAGCTGCTTTACTAAGGAACTTGGTACCTTGAATTATTGAAGTGGTGGAATTGCCGGCCCAGTTTACAAGACGCAGCTAACTTTACTAAGAAACTTGGTACCTTGAATTATTGAAGTGGTGAAATTGCCGGCCCAGTCTACAAGACGCAGCTTATTGTACTAAATCCTTGATCTGGAAGATAATTGTGTCCTTTAAGAGTTCGGGTGATCCTGTAGAACAGGCTTGTCCGCCGCCGCCGGGTGATTTTGCCACGCCGAACGCCGCCGATACACCCCGGCGTACATCGGCGTACGGCGTGCATTTTCTGACTTCAAAATAATTTTGTCTTCATTTGAAGATTATCAGTGTTACTGATAGCGATTAGCGGCTAGGGGCGACACACACATGATACACACCTTTAGCTAACTTAACAATCTTGATTATCAGAAGAACTGAGCAGATACCTACTCATAAGTTTGACTGAAGAAGAAATTTTACAATTCGAACTTTTAAGATTTTGGGCCGATAGGCAAAAAACTTTCCCAGTACTCTCAAACATAGTAAGAATAGTGCATTGTATACCTGCCAGTAGTGCGAAAATTGAAAGAACCTGTTCGGCTGCAGGTTTAATTCTTTCTAGTCAGCGATCTAGGATGAATGTTAAAAATTTCAAATATACACTGTTTTGTTCTAAAAACTATGATTTTGTTTCCAACAAAAAATATTGAGAGATCCATTGATTTCAGCAATAATTTATTGTTTATGTATTTTACCTTATATAAAATAATTGTATCAATTTGTCTCAACTTTTATTTGATAGCAGATAATACCATAACAATATACCAACATCATTTGTTGAAGTTAAGTCTAAATTACCCAAATTAAGTACATGATCATATTCATATTTCATAGACCTCAATTTAGTTGGCCTTGATTTCACGGCTCACGCCGGCGTACGCCGCCGCCGCCGGTGTAATTTTAGTGAAACGCCGCCGCCGATCCATTTAGCCACGGCGGACAAGCCTGCTGTAGAATTGCAGGTCACTTTAATTGACGATGTCAATTCATCTCAGCTCGGCGCGGCACAGTAGTGCATATCGCTACATGCAACAGGGATGATAATTAATCACTCTACACTTGACTGTCACGTGACTTTTTCAACCCGTTCTCTAGCTGGTCCTGAACGACTATTCGAAACCCTAACCCTCTTATCTGATCCCAACCCTAACCCTAACCCACTCCTTAACAAAAGCATATGCTGAAACCCTAACCCTAACGAGAAATTAGACTAACTTCCTTATACGGTCATATTACGTGATCGAGACAGTTTTTCGCCTATACCTTGTCAGGGGATCATTTTAACCCTATGTCATGGGGGGTGATTCGGAATCAGCGTCCGAAAATACATCTATTGAGGTTGGTTTCAACTGTCGGGGGCCCTTTTAGAACAATCTCGAAGATCGACTGTAGAGTGATTTAGTACGCTCGCTACAACAGGTCACTCTATAATATGCAGAGACCACAGTCTAGACGGTATATATTTAACTATGGTCCAGTTATAAGGGTTATTTTGATTGTTGATTGGGACTGGCCAAAAAGCGCTAACCAATGTTAACGGAATAAAAATTTAATGCACAATAATTATGTGAGTTGTGAAATTTCTGGAATCCTACACACCTAATAATATTTATTCATTATCTTTTCTTAATCTTATTATTGTATTTGTAAGAACAGATAATGAAAAAATGATGATATACCTACAATTCTACGTGCTTATTGTCACAAAATCTTAATTTCTCTCTTAAATTAAAAGAAAATAATCTGAACATTAAGATTCTAACGAGCCAGTTAGTAAAGAAAGGAAAGGTGTGCAATGGGAGAGCCAAGCTCGCAAGATTCGTCGAATTATTATATGTTATACTTATAGGTACTCATTTTGTGTCATTTCCTTGTAGCCCAATGCGATTATTTAACTTTAACTTTAAATTTATGAAGAATTATGTAATTACAGATAATGTCATTTCCTTGTCATGGTAAGCAGTGGACACACTTCTCAGATGGAATACTAACTAGGAGCCAGATTGACTATGTCCTGGTACGGAAGAAGTGGAGGAGCTCAATAAAGAACACCGAGCCATGCAACTCTTCCAATTCCCTGGGCTCTGACCATCGGGCAGTACTCTCAAATGTAAAGCTCAGTCTTCGAAAGAGCATAAGTCCACCACGGCTCACACGTTACGACTTCAGTCGTCTCAAAACTGATCAAGAGTTACAGATCAAGTATGGAGTTGAAGTTAGAAATAGGTATAGTGCACTCTTGAGTGAGGAACAACTAGATCTAGGTCCTACTAATGACGTCACCACTAAGTATGGAAAGTTTATTAAAGCAGTGAAGTATGCAAATAGAAAGCATCTTCCACATAAACCTAAAAAGCGGTATGACGATCCTGCGAACGACCCAAGAGTAGAGGAAGCCAGAAACAAGTTGTTTGCTGCCAAAGAGACCTACCATCTGGATCCTTGTGAAGACAACAGACAGACAGTTGCCGA